TTCCTACCTGCTAGACATGCAGCAGCCCTGTCCTTTGAAACTCCTGTCCTGAAGGGAGAAGCCTGTCTGGCTGGGCCTAAGCTTTTCCCTAATTCTGCCCCCCCAGACCACAGCCGGTTTCCCTGTCCCTGGGGTCTTCCCCGTCTCCTGTTTATCACAGTGCTTTGCATTTTCTCAGTTACCCATCTGCCCTCCCTAGCAGGCCTTCCTGCCTAAGAACAAGGACCATGTTCTACACACTGCTAAATCCGTAGTTAACCTGATGACTAGAACCATAACAGGTTCTCCAAAAAAATTTTCTAAAATGAACTGTAGAAAAAACAACTTTTAAATGCAGGACCTATGGTTAAAGGCAGGCAGGGTCCCCACTGGGCTGGTTGGCGTGTCAGCGGTAGCTGACATGTGGCCCAGCCGTGGGGCCTGGGAGCTGTGATTCCCATGCACTCGTGTGGACGTATGTTGGCCAAACACACGTTCAGCGTTTATGTTCAGCAGGAAGCACAGTCTTTTGAAATGTCAAGATGTGAAGAAAAGCCATCCATAGGCGCTGCTGTCACGGGAAGCACAGGGTCTTCATTGGTTCTCATGTTCTAAGATAAAGACCCTTCCCCGGACAGGCAGTGGGAAGCACTTGCCCGCACCGTGACCTTGGGAGAACCACCCCCTTCCCACATCGCTACAAAATCAATGATCACGTCCGACCTGCCTCCTTTCTAAAAATGTAGTGAGATGAGAGGAGACCCAGGATGCTGTAAGTGAAATTCGTAAGCTTTGTGACATGTTTGCTCATGAATTTTTCTGTTTGTTTTCTGATTCTTGGTTGAGTCGGGGAACAGAGAGTGGTATATTCAGTAAATTTCCGGGATTCTAAAGAGAAAAGCAGCCTGAGTATTGGCACATTGAGTTTACAGAGGCAGAGGGCGCGATGGCTTCGTGGCAGAGTGCCAGCATGCCGGCTTGCTGGAAGGAACGGTACCATTCAAGGGGAGAAATTAAATTGCAGCGAGACTCAGGTGGGTCTGGCCACAAGCAAGGGTTATAGCATGTTCTGTAGACTTCCCTGAGATGCCAGAGGCCTTTGATCTGGTGAAATGGCATAATGATGCCACATTGGAGGTTGGCTTTTCTAAAAGAGATTCAGCCATGGTCACTCTCTTACTCAAAATCCTTCTCTGGCTCCCACTTGTCCTCAGTAGGACTTCCCAACCAGTGTGCCACATATGGGTGACATGTGCCAAAATCGTCATCCCCTCAGCCACAGGGGCACTTGGATTGGGCCTGGAGCAGCTGGAGCCCCTGGATCAGCCCTTCCAGCCACAAGCAGCTTATTCTGTTAACCCTGATGGGTTATCCATGAGGAAAATGACATGAAAATGGTTGGAAAGCACTTGTTTTGCATAGATTCAAGGCTATTCCTATTCATTGCCTGTTCTCCTGTTCAGGCCCACGTCCTGGCATTTGCCAAAGCATTCTGTTGGAACCAGCTGGCCATCACCCACGCTAGTTCTTGCATAGCCCAGTCTTGCCACGCTGTCTCCTACCTTCATGCCCCTGTCCATGTGCTTTCCTCAGGCGCTTCTTGTTCCCCCTGTCTGCCTGGCCAAATCCTAGCCCAGGCCAGCTCTGGCCTCCCTCGGGAGCTCGCCTCATAGGCAGTGCACACTCTCAGTGTCTGCCATCCTCACGTTGAATTGTGATGGTGTGTGCCTTGTAGATGTGCTCATCATTGTGTTTCCATAAAAGGGCCTGGCAAAGATTGAACATTACACCACCAGTAAATATATGCTGAATTAATATTTTGAAGAAAGCCCATGCAGTTGGGGAAAGTGGGGAAGAAAAACAAGTCCAAGACTTATTTCTATTAGTTCACACATAGTTGGTGCTCAATAAATAACTGTTGAATGAATGAATAAAAGAAGAGATGTAAAAGCCATTTCAAATGTAGAATCCCTGAGACTTAGTAATGGCCTGACTATAAGGAAGGAAGATAGAGTAGGTGAATGCAAAAATAAATCATATATATTTATAAAATGAATGAAGTGATTACAGTGAACAAACTAGATGCTGAAATACTAACATGGTTGAATCTTAAAGACATACCAGTGGGTAAAAAGGCAAGTTGGCATAGGAAATATGTAACACAGAACACAGTAAAAATACCATAGATTTATTATTAAATACATAGAGAATAAAAATGTAAAAACATGCATAGAAATGAAACACAAGCACCACAAGATACTGGCTGCCTTGGAGGAAGAAATGAGGTAGAATGAGATGGAGGAACTTTTGATTTATCTGTAGTGTTTTATATTTTTTTTTTAACAGCAAATGTAGCAGTCTGTTAGCATCTATTATATCTAGGTGGTAGGCATTATATTGGTTTTTGTAATTTTCTGTTGGTTTCAAATAGTTCATAATTTTTAAAAATAAATTGAAATTACACAGAAGAAAAGGTTGGCTAGCTGGGAGAATGGTCTTGCATTTCTGCATTGAGTCTGTGATTTTAGACATCCCCACTTTTCAAGGAGCCGGACAAATGATGCTGAACCACATCTGCCACTTGGGACTCGCCAAGTCTTAACGCCACTTAAAAGCAACGGTTCTCAGCTCAGTCTCCAGAGCCTGATAGATCTACCACGGACCTCTCTAGAGTCTTCAGAATGTGCCTTACTATCTTTGATCATTTATTTACAGCTTCCAACCCCCCCTCCATTTTTACTCTGTTGGAGCATCTAGCCAACCTAATTAGAACTAGTTTGTGCAATAAGATTTAATGAAATTCTTTCACATGTTTGACTGGAATCTATTTTCTTGAATCAGTCACCAGTGACTTACACCACTGTACTCTCTGAGTTTGTAATTTTGCAAATGTTTCTTTCCCTTCTCCCCCAAAGAAGCAATCAAATGATATGTTTGTAGTGAACTTTACTGTGCCTAAAAATGTCTCTGTATTTGGGAAACAATTTTAGTGGGGTGCTGGAGCAAGCACACACTGGCTCGAGGGGACCAGCTGTGTGTCCCTTTCTCCCCAACTTACTGTTCAATGTCATTGCATTGCCAGCTCGAAATTAGCCATGATGAGAATACTTACACCATGGCAATTGGCAGATACTGCGTTTTTGTTTCTCCCCAGGAGAGCTGGTAGTTAAACATTACCAGCCTACCACAAGAGGGGATGAGAAACCGAGAGTCAAAAAAGAAGTCTCGGCCTGAGTCCCATGGTTCCAGAGCAACATTGCTGGGTCCATGTGGTTTGCTGGAAGAAGCCCTGGCTTTGGAGTCAGGCAGAGCTGAGTTTGAATCTGGTGTAGCTACTTTTGAACTGTGAATTGGACAAGTGTCTGACTTAGCCCTTCGGTTCTCCCACCGATAAAATACAGATGACAAAATCTATCTTGTAGAGATCTTGGGATCATTAAAGGAAACAATATATGCAAAAAAAAACCTAACAAAGCACAAAGGAGATGTGCAACAGATGTAGTTTGCCCTTGAGACTTACAAGTTCAGATCTCTGTGCATTATCCCATTCTTCCCATAAGCATTTATGTACTTTATTTTTTTATTTCAACTCTACCTGAGCAAACACCCTTCACTAAATGGTGAATATACTTTTTCTTCAAATAGGTTCCACTGGAATAAGGAAAACGTCTTAGAGTTGACATTTATGTGTAATTTGGGGAAATCTATTTCTTTCCTACAATTTTAGAAATGCATGTACTAGGTATCAACTGAGATCATTTTTCTACTGCCCGGAGTTTTCTCCACTGGCCATTCTGCTGAGCTAGGCATCCTGAAGAGGATTGATTTGGGGCCCATGGGTGCTACAATTCCATCCACCAAATTAACTGCAGTGGCCTGCAGGGAAATTCCCTTGACTTTCTGTGTTCTGTGCTCTGTGGGGTTTTTTTTTTTTTTTTCTTGCACAATCTAACTGACCTGGTGGTAGATAGCTGCTTCTAAGCCATTCAACTAAGTCAAAATGTAATTTTCTTTTTAGATTTTAATTAATTAATTTTTTGCCTGGGTAATGCCTCTAGTTGTTTTAACATTTTTAAAGATACAAAAGAATGTACATAATGAGAATTTCCCTCCCTAAACAATCCCCCATTCACCTAGGTCCCTCGACACAAAAACTAACAACAACAAAAAAAGGCAGCAGGGAGTAGGAACCAACCTCTTACTGTTGGTTTCTTATAGGCTTTTGAAGCTCATCTTAAAGATCCAATGTCAGCATTGCCTCCACCGTAGTTGAAATAAGTGCCGATTGTGGGTGGGCCAAAGGAGACCCTGTTGACATCAGGAACACTGAGACAGACCCACGTGGCTTGTCAGTAATTGTCTAGCAAACTGGCAAAGTGGTGCCCAGAGTAAAGTCACAGAGGAGCTAATTTTTATCTGTAAAGGTAAACGAAATATATATTGTACAAATCCATCTGTCAGCTCACTCTAGGTAGGTTGTCATATCTCATAGGAGAGACCCTAATGTTTATAAGAAATGTACTATGTATCAGGGGCAGAGCTACGATCTTTATTTCATTTTTGTGATAAACAGAACATAAATTTACCATTTGAACCATATTTGTGTGTACACTAGTGGCATCAAGTCCACTCACATTGTTGTGCAAACATCACCACCGTCCCATCTGCGGAAAGCACTGGGCTCTCTTTGCTCATCTCAGTCCTTACAATAGCCCTTTGAGGTCTGTGTTACTGTTCTCCATACGACGAGGATGTCCAGAGAAATGGTCTAAAGTCTCATACCAAGTACCTGGCAGAGCCTAGGCTTGAACCCAGGTATTTTCATCTCCTAAACACGTGCCCCGTATGGTGAAGCCTCGCTGGGAGAACTTCCAGAGGAAAGACTTCTCTGCAGCAACGCTTAGGACTCTTCTCTGCATAAAATGTCATCCCCAAGAGGCTGTGGCCGTGTCGTGGACAGGTGTGCCTGGCTTTCTGTCTTACTGTTGGTTTTTGCTCCTGTATCCTATGCTGCTGCCCAGGGGTGATCCTGCTGCTTCTGGACAAGCTGCGGAAGATGAAGTGGGAGCAGATGTGGAGGCTGACCGCGGAGAGGGAGCTCATGGGCATGCTCTCTACGTCCTTAGCCGACCAGGTGAGTGGCCACCGGAGAAGGTGCAGGTGTTTCTGAGCACTCTGGTGCTGTTTCCCAAAGGAACTTAAAGGGAGATGAGTCTGAATTATTTTTCTAGGTATTGTGTGACTGTACACTTGGGTAGAGCTGTCTTTTAATCCAAGCCTTTTGCTTACTTAGATCCTGTAGTAGTGGCCCTGTACTCAAGGGAAAGGCATTTAAATAGAAAGGAAAAACCACCTGGCTCTGGAAACCACCTTGTTTTCCAGGCAGTCTGAAAAAGTCCTTGAACTCCATCCACCAAACTATTAACAAGTATTGATTTTAAAAAGCCCCATTTCTCACTTTAACTAGGGAAGGCAGGGGGCTCAAATCCTTGACCACGGATCTCCCAGGATCACTCATTTGGATTTTGATATCCCTGTGGTATTGGTAGCCGTCTCGAGACACTGAGATGACTTCTGGGTTTTCTGCAATTCATCCTTTTCATCCGAAGAGCAAGCTCAGTCTGCACATTTTTATTCAGTGTTCAAGGGACTGGTTTGTTGAATTCCTGCAAAGTTTTCTAATACAAAGGAAACAAGAAATGCTGTAAGGTTACTTTACTGTTTTTTTAAAGCATTATTATTCTGTATTTCCCAAGCAGCCAGAAACTGATTTCCTTTTTCAACCATGAGGTATAGTATAATGAATGAGTTTAAAAAAAAAAAAACAAAAAAAGCCAGGTAGCTATTTGAAACCAGAGGGGAAAACTGTCCACCATCCTCATCTTTTAAGTCAGGCTACAATGACTCGAGCACGTCCCCAAAGGCTAGCAATTGTATGTCCACGTCCAGTGGGGATAGTTTATTCAGCCATCTCCTGCCGAGAAAGCCCATAATTCACCCCCCGGCACCACCTGTCAGCAGCTAGTTAATAAGTATGGCCTGGTACGAGAGCTTGGAGAAGAGCCCTAAAGAGGTAAAACCTCCCTAGACAAGTCAGAGTTGGGTTTTGAAATGGAGAAGGCGCACTGTGGGCACCATGGCCTGCGGGAATCCAGGGAGCATCCTTCACTGAGCCCAGCAAAAGCCCCGGGAAGTGCTACTGAAAGGGAGGATCTATAATTTGTCTCGGCCCCTGAATTAGCGGGGCTACTTGTTATCACGCAGTTTCCTCTCCAGGAGCTCAGGATGGATGACGTGGGGTTCCCGCATAGGATGGGAAGAGGGGAAGAAAAGAGACCTCGTTTATTACGTGCCGGCTGGGGTAGGGAACTCGCACCCTGTGCGCCCCACATGAGCTGGCTGGATAGTGCTTTAGGAGACCAGCAGGACCCTTGAGCTTCAAGTGAGCCTCGGGCATTTGCCCTTCCCTAGCCAAACATTGCTGGGTTCCCAGAGGTAACCAGCAGGAGAGATGCCCTCCAGTGCGAGCCAGCCCGTATTCAAAGCCGGGGGGCTCGAGAAGCCCTTTCATGGGGATGGGGTGCGCTGGTAGCTGGAACTGTGAGCTGAACCCACCTGATTGTCTTGGCCGTGTCTTTGGCTTTTGTCCCCAGGATATTTTCAATGCCGTCATCAAACAAAACCCCTTCCTTGTGTACCAGCTCCCCTGCTTTTGGAACGTGCAGCTGTCGGACCACACCCGCTCGGAGCAGTGCTACAGAGACGTGTCTGATCTAAAGGTAGGTTCGCGACAAGCTGCGTTGGGCCGTGGGGCACATCCGCAGAGGTGGAGTGAGGTGCCCACACTTGGCAGAGAGAAGCTGAGTTGGGGGGAGCCCACGGGGCACCATGGCTAGAGCTTTGTATGCAGCGTGGCAAGAGAGATACGGGCACAGGAGAGCCTGTATCTTCTTTGTCTGGTTTTTCCTTCTTTTTTCCCACCCTTATCTCAGCTTTCTGGAAAGCCTAAAGCCCTCTGGCATAAGAACCGCCTTGTCTGGTTAGTCTGCTGCTGGTTGATGTGAGCTCTCCAAAGCCATTTATTTAATTCAAGCAAAAACATTTCTCGAGGGCCTACTCTGTGCTGGGTGCTATAGAAGTGGAAGTTAGTGAATAACTAATTACCTGCTTCCAAGTCATTCATGGCTTAGAAGAGAGAAATGTGTAAGGAAATAGGTTTAAAAAAAAAAAATAATAGGTGCTATGATAGGTGTGGGGGGAGGGGAACGTAAACAGTTGTGTGGGGGGAGGGGAACGTAAACATAACTGTCTCGTTCTCCCTGGCAGAGAAGGGATGGTGATGGAAAAGCCCTCGCCATTGTTGTCTGGGTACCAAACACGGTGGTAGGATCTGGCCGTAGAAAGATGAAGATGACAAGGTGTATCACTTACCTGCTGCCATAGATAATGCTGCATAACAAACTATTCTAATAGTGGCCTAAATCAATGACCATTTATTTAGTTCATACATCTACAGGTTGACTGGAGGGTTCTCTGATTTTTACTACCTTAACCAAGTCTCCGTGGTCAGCTTCAGATGGGATGGCCGGTGGCGGGGACAACTCAGCTGTCCTCCAGTGTTTCTCTGTCTCATCAGCAGACCAGTCTGGGGTGTTCTCAGGGAGAGGCACAGGTGGCAGAGGAAGCCCTAGCACACAGAGGAACTGGAGTCATTGTTGCTAATGTCCCATTGGCCAAAGTCATCATATGGCCGAATCCAAAATTAAGGAGTGTGCCGGAATTCCCCAGCTGCCATGGGGAGAGTGAAGAATTGAGCACAGCTCTCAAGCAAAAGAACAAAGATTTGAACACAGGCCTGTCTGACACCAAGTGCGTTTGCCTCTCAGGTTGTTTCAAAGAGTGAACAGATATGTATAGCCACAAGAGAGTTTCTTTCACGTAAAGTTTATATTCAGGCCGGGCGTGGTGGCTCAAACCTGTAATCTTAGCACTGTGGGAGGCCGAGGTGGGAGGATCGCTTGAGGTCAGGAGTTTGAGACCAGCCTGAGCAAGAGCAAGACTCCCTCTCTACTAAAAATAGAAAAAAATAGCCGGGTGTGGTGGTGTGCGTCTGTAGTTCCAGCTACTCGGGAGACTGAGGCAGGAGGATCACTTGAGCCCAGGAGTTTGAGGTTGCTGTGAGCTAGACTGACGCCACGGCACTCTATCCTGGGTCACAGAGTGAGACTATGTCTCAAAAATAAAATAAAAGAAAGTTTATATTCATTGCCCATGGCACACTTCAGTACCAATAATTGCAAGTTTTAAATAAGAAAAAGGATCCCAAACTCTGCTTTCCTAATAAGTTAGTCTTTTC